GTATGTGACTTGTTGTTTCTCTTTTGCAGCTTTCAGTATTGTCTCTTTGTTCTGTATGTTTAGTGTTTTTACCATGATGTGCCGTGGAGAGTTTCTTTTCTGGTCCTGTCTGTTTGGTGTTCTATATGCTTCTTGTATTTATATGGGCATGCCTTTCTTTAATTTTGTGAAATTTTCATTCATGATTCTTTTGAAGATCTGGTCCATGCCATTATCTTGGGATTCTTCACCTCCCCGTATGCCTATGATATATAAGTTTGGTCTTTTTATGGTGTCACATGATTCCTGCATATTCCATTCTTGTGATTTCTTAAATTTTTCATAATCTTTGCTTGAGTGGTCTAGTTATTCCACTTTATCTTCCAGTCTTGATACTCTGTTTTCCATTTCATTCATCCTATTGGTGAGGCTTTCTCCTGTCATTTCTAATTGGCTTACTGAGTGTTTCACTTCCTTCTTCATTTCAGCCTGAGTATTCTTCAATATTTCTAGCTCTTTTCTGAATTTATTCAGAAGTTTATCTCTATCTTCCTTCAGTTCTTTGATTTCTTTGTTTGTGTGTTCTTTAAATTCACTGAATTCTTTTATCATGTTTATAACTGTTCTTTAGAGTTCCATGTCCTACATTATCTTCAGGGGGTTCTCATTGTTCTCCTCTAGAGGACTGTTGGTATTTGGTGTGGATATGTTATTTTGGTTTTTCATGTTACTTTTTCACTGTAATTTTGACATATGAATTTCTTTTGTAGTTTGATTCTTTTTTGAGACTCAAGCCTTCAAGTTTAGGTCTGCTGCTTTTTGTAAACTTTATGTGTTTTTGTGGTTTACTTTTTGGGCATGAAAAGCTGGTTCCTCTAAGCTTCCAGTTCTCTTTTGATTTTATATTGGAGTAGCCAGATTGCTTTTGTCTTCAGGAGTTCCCACAGAGACCCAAGTCAGATGAGGATCAGATGCTCTCAGGCTTTCTCCTAAGGTCTGGATCCCTCCAGGAAAGATTTTGGCCTCAGGAACTTGGGGGTTGGACTGGCCTGGGAGCAGGGCCCAGGAAAGATGCTGGTCTAGGGCAGGTGGTGGCTATGCCACCCAGAGATGAAAAGGGAGGTGGGGGCGGGAAGTGGCCCCAAGGGTTCCTGGGGACTGCACTGAGGAGCTGGGTTGGTCTGGATGCAAAGGATCAGGAAGCGGAAAGGTCACCCCCTGCATCCAGGAAAGAGGCTGGTGGGTTGTATAACCCAGGGAAGCAGAGGGAGGTGACGGTGGGACCAGGCCCAGAGTGTTCCTGAGGACCCCAGAAGGAACTGGGTTGGTCTGGATCCAAAGGATCAGGAAGCAGTGGTGGTTCCCCCATGTCTGGGGCGCCAAGACAAGGAGGAGGGATGGGTGGGGAGATGTGAGGGTGAATGAGGCTGGGGGAGTCAAGGCGTGGAGGGCGCAATCGATTTACCCCGGAGAGAGCCCCATTTCATTTTTATAGAACTTTTTAGTAATAGACTGTGGCTTTAAATACTTATAGGTATCAATCCTTGATGTTTTTAAGACTATGGGAGTGATTGTTAATATTTCCTGAAGTTTAACAACTTGACCAAACTCACATAGACATTAAATGGGAGCGCTTGAATTAGATTTCTACATCACTATACTCATAACAACTGTACTGCACTGCCTCTGAAAGAAAATAGAAGATTTTTTTAAATGACTTCAATATGTACATTGTAAATACTTCTTTTCCCCCTGTTCATTTATCAAATGATACCGTTATGTTTTTTCTTTTAAATAGCTATCATGGATGCACTAGTGGAAGATGATATCTGTATTCTGAATCATGAGAAAGCCCACAGAAGAGATACAATGACTCCACTCTCAATATATTCAGGAGATGAGTCTGTTGCTTCACATTTTGCCCTTGTCACTGCATATGAAGATATCAAGAAACGACTCAAGGATTCAGAGAAAGAGAACTCTTTCTTAAAGAAAAGGATAAGGGTTTTGGAAGAAAAGGTATTTTTTCCTTCTTTTGATTATGTTTTATGACAAAGAATAATTGAAAATATTTGAAATTTTAAATATTTTTTAATCGTCTTCCACGGATGACTCAATTTGACTGTCCAAACTTTGCACCATTAAACTAACTGTACTGTGCTTGCCACACCATGTGCTTGTGTTTGTAGAATAGGATTTAACAACTCAAAGATGTTCTATTCCAAAATTTTTCTTTTCCTTTTTTTAGACTGCCTTACTGTTTTTGCTGTATGGCTTTTTCCCTCTTGTTTTTTGTGAGTGCACATGTTCACATGCTCTTGCACAGATTTGGAGGCCAAAGTCAACCTTGGATGTTTCTCAGGAGCTGTCTACCATCTTTTTTGAGAATGGATGTCTCCCTGAGTCCTAGGGCTCACCAATTGGGCCAGGCTGGCTGGCTAGGGAGATTCAGGGATTCTCATATCTCTGTCTCCGTGGGACTGAAATTATAAGTACACACCACGACACCCAGCCTAGGGGTTGAACTCAGGTCTTCATGTTGGCATAATAGTCACTTTACCAAATAAGCTTCCTCCCTATCCCAGCTATATTTGTCTTATTTAGAATTTTCAGATTGTGTAAGAATAACATACTAGTGAAGGAAACTGTCAAAGGCAGAAGCTTCTAAGACATTGCTTTAATATGTAAGATCCTCACTAGATCTAAAATCTGCATTCTCTTACACTCCATCATGTAAGAGGAGTAATAAAGACTTTTATCTGATAATCTCATTTACTTTTCCACACTGAATATGATACTTCTAAATGTTACATGAGGTAGTTTTTGCAGTCTAAATAAATTGTTCGTGGTTTTATATATTATAAAAGCTTTCTTGGATACTGATTTATTTTGGCATTTTAAGGTTTTAACTTAGCTTTTATTTCATCAGATCAGATCTGTGTTTTTATTTTGGAAAAACAGCAACTTCCAAAAATGGTAAAAGAAATCGTTTCTGAACCACGCAGAGTGGCACACATCTTTAAATCTAGCAGAGGCAAGGAGGCAGAGGCTGGCGGTCTCTGTAAGATGACGGCCAGCCTGGTGTACATAGCAAGTTCCAGGCCAGCTGGGGCTGCTAGAGATCCTGCCTCAAAAAGTACAAAAATAAACAAAAACTGAAAGAAATGGATTTGGGGGTGTTTTTTTTTTATCTTTTGAGACACGGTCTCCCTGTAGCCCCAGCTGGCCTGGAACTCACTATGTAGACCAGAATGGCCTTGAACTCACAGAAATCCACCTACCTCTACCTCCGGAGTGCTGGGATTAAAGGCTTGTGCCACCATGCCCTGCAAGAAATGGATTATTAGCAGTCAAAGAAATTAATTATTCTGTACTTAAAAACTTGAGGATGGGGTTGGTAGAGTTTAATACATGTGTTGGGATGGTAAAAGAAGAAATCATTTATAAATTATAATTTCTTTACATGGAATTTTAATTTAGTGATTAAGTAAATTTATAATGTACTGAGATAAATTAGAGATGGCAACTAATAGCTATGCTTTTAAAATTCAGTAGTAAATTTAATATATAGTTAACTTAAGAAATTTATACTTTGTGACCATCAATCCTATTAATTTCGGTTCTGGAATAATGTAGTTCTTAATGAAATAGCATGTATATTCCTTAAAAAGTTGAGTCTGGCATGTACTTTTTCTGATGATAGAAATTAGATACTGTCTTAGAAAATACCCAAACACTTCAAAAGATTGGTTCCTGTCTCAAAAAGAAAAAAGAGGCTACTGTGTTGTTAATTTAATATGTTAATGAAATAGATAGTACAAAGCACAGCATTCTGATTAAGAGCATAGATGGCTTTGTGGGAGTTGGAACTTTCCATACTTTTTGCTTTCTTAACCACTAAGGATATGTGACAATGATTCACTTAATCCTAGGCAAAGTAGGCTTTATCCTTGCATTACACTGATTAAGGTACATAACTCTCAAAAGATAGACTTGCTCATTTCTACAGAATGCTAATGCTTTCCCCCCAATTTCATACCCTTAGCTTGTTGGTGCTCGATTAGAAGAAGAGACAAGTTCTGTAGGACGAGAACAAGTGAACAAGGCCTATCATGCATATCGAGAGGTTTGCATTGACAGAGATAAATTGAAGAATAAATTGGATAAAATGGTAAGTTGATTAGAAAACAGTGATAATTTATATTTTGTTTTTTCTTGCAAGAGGTTTAGAATTAAAATAAGATGTTAAAAATTTACGTTTGTTATTAAAATATACATATTCAAAACAAAACAGAAATTTTTAATAATTATATTTGCAACCTCTATACAGAAATATTTAGTGATTAATAACGTTTAGGACTTAAAGCCACCTAAGTACCACTCACTTATTTTGAAAAAAAAATCATGACATGGTTGAATTCATCTTTTTTTTTTAAGCCGTTGAGCAGTAATGTCCTAAGAAAAGATTAGTGAGAATCAGAGTTCATTTTCCCATGTTGCTTTTAAAAGCCAGAAGGTTTTTTTCAATATCTACCTGAAAATTAAGATATAATACCAACCTAGAGATTTCACTGAATGTAATTTGGCATTTTCCCTACTTAACTAGAATAAAGACAACTCTGAATCTTTGAAAGTATTGAATGAACAGCTACAGTCTAAAGAAGTAGAACTTCTCCAGCTAAGAACAGAGGTGGAAACTCAGCAGGGTATGCCACTTACTTGTTATGAATGTTCTAATAGAATGAATAGATTTTTCCATTCATATGTTATATCCATAATCAGTTTCCTATATCTGTATGCTAAAGCCTTACTTTTTTATTTTTAATTTTTCTGTTCTGCTTTCACACAGTATCAACCCCTTCTAACCTTTCTTAGCTGCAAATTGTACTTTTCCTACAGGAGATATGATGGTTTTATTCAGGATAGTTTGTGATGAAGTAGAGGAGGAAAGGAATAAATCCCATTCTCACCAAAAGTTCCACCCCACTGGTATGTTCTGACTGACCTCTTACACTCATCTTCCTGCCTACAGTTAGACACATTGTTATGGAGTAGTTTTCAGTGACTTTTTAAATTTTTTTCTTCCAAAGGTAGATAAATATGCAGATGAGAAGCTAAATTGGAGGTTATACATAATAACCTGCGGGTTATACATAATAGTGTGTTCCCATTAATGTTCTGAGATAAATGAAAGAACAGGCCTTTGAAAGACCTTTTGATAGAACATGAGCATGAGATCACTCCTGGTCAGTGGCTGGGGCTTTTCTGTAGATGGAGAAACTGAAGGGCTAAGTCGAAGATAATGCAGGATCCAGCTGTTTTGTTCCCTCAGGCAGATGTTAATGAGCAAAATTGCTTTGACAGACATTTTAAGCCTGTCATTCAAACTGTACACTTTTAGATGAAGTGATTAGCCGAGCCTCACTTTATTCAATATATTACTTTTAGCACTGTCTTAACTTTGGCTTCTGTAAAATACATACTGACCTACCTGTAATTTTAGCACAGGCTTGATTAGTGTGGTAGCTCTAAAATTCCAGAATGATTAAATTTATACTTAAATTAAAAAATCAGAGATGGAATGATTAAAACAAGTTCGCTAGATTAATTATAAGCAGAGACATTTGAAAGTAACTGCTGTTTTATAAAATGTTAAAATTCATGCATGTTTTGTATTACTAGTTTTTCTATTTACATTTTACTCATGAAACCTTCTTAGAACTGCAGTTGGTATAAAAAGCAAAGATAACTATTTTGTTGTCCATCCTTTTTGTAGTGATGAGGAATTTAAACCCACCCTCATCAAACTGGGAGGTGGAAAAATTGAGCTGTGACTTGAAGATTCATGGTTTGGAGCAAGAGTTGGAACTGATGAGGAAAGAATGTAACGATCTCAAAATAGAACTACAAAAAGCCAAACAAATGGTACTTCAAAATTATTACATTGAGAAACTCTATATACTTTGTGAATCATATATAAGATTTGTAACTCTTAAGCCATATATCTGTAATTAATTATAATCACTTAGAAAGGGAATGTTCTCATTTTCTCAGAAATTCATTTTAACTTTTCTTTAAATCCTGCTAATATTTGATATAGTCTATACATGTTTGTTGAGTTATTTATTATAACTTGCTTTCAAACTCCCTTTAGTTTCCTCCTTTTTTGTCTCTGAAATTTTTAAACAGAACTCTGGTCTTCTCCATTTTGTTTAACTTAACTATTTGGTTAAGGTTAATCTAGACATACAAGACAACATGATTGAATTTCTGAGAAACAACAGCAAACCTACCCAGTAAGAAAGGAACCCTGAATTCAAAAACTGGAAAAGCAAAAAAAAATCTGCCAAGTAGAATGTGTTAGCCTAAAGTCAGCTATTAAAACACAATCTACCTCTCAGGTCCTCACTAGGGATGTTTATCAGTACTCTATGCTGGGTTCTAGACAAGCATTTTTCAGATGAAGCAGGGGAGTTTGAGAACAACACAACAAATACAAAATTGAAGGTATTTGTTAAAAGAAACATAAAGGCTTAGTAGGCTGGAGAAAATAGCCATTTTAAATATACATTCATGTATTTTAAACTGGGTATAACCAGTTAATCCTCAACTCAACCATTTTGCCCACCAGATCTTTGCAACACTAACTTAGGAACTGTGTCTCCTATTCCATGTGCCTCTGTGATGCCACTATCTGACTGCCAGCCAAGATTCTGCTCCTGCATCCCAAATATCCTTATATGCAGCATATACTTCTCTCTTCTATAATGTAGTCTTTATCAGTGACCACTCAGCTACATGCAAGAATACCATAGCATTCTGCCTCTACCTTGACTAAATAATTCATCTGCATTAGGCAAGGAGAACCCATGTTGGAAACCCTCGATCTGATAAAGGAAAACACCATAAAAATTGCTGTCAACTTGGGTTAGAGCCCAAATGGTTTTTGTTTCTTTTGGATTGCAGAAGTTAACTAGTCCAGCTTTAAACTTGTGGCTTTATATATATACACTACCATTTCTCCAAAGACTTCCAACACAGGAGCTAACAATTGTCCACTTCCAAGGGATCTGATGCCCTCTTCTGGCCTTGTGGGCATTGCATGCACATGATGCATTTATATACATGCAGGCAAAACATACACATAAAAATAAAAATTAAGTGCTTATAAGAGAAGATTTGCACCTAGAATCACTGAATAATTGTCAGCATATACAGTCTTAATTGAAATAATTTGGTAGCTTTTATAATGAATATTTCACTGTAGAGTAAGAAACAGTACCAGGTGATCATGGGAATTTGGCTCATAATTGTACTGCTTATTAACTGTGTAACATTAGGAATGCCACTTAACTTTTCAGGGAACCTAATTTCTATAGACATTTAGTACCTGTTTTTTCATAAAGGTTAAGTTAGGGTATGTATAGGGTGGTTAGCATAGTTCCTTTGATAGAGTATATTCAGTAGATAAATTAATACAAACAAATAAACAAAAACTTGGTGAGAGAGGCAGTGCTTTAGGCGTGTCCATGTTGGGAGTGGAAGGTCATTAAGTTTCCATTCTGATTAGTTCCTCTTCTCCACTAGGTGGTGCTACGGAATAAATATGCTTTTTCTTTTGTTGTAATCAACCAGTTCATAGACGTACAAAAAACTTCTTTAAAAAATTTTATCATTTTTTAACTGATGATGTAATTAAATCTGAGAGGCAGGAAGCTTTTAAGAGTTTTATGTGAGATACGGGAGGAATATTGAAAGGGAAGAAAATTAAACTAGGTCCCTACATTTATAGCCATTTATTAGTGGTAGCAGGAAGGTGCAAAGTAAAAGGTGCCCACAGGTAATAGGAAAAAAACTGAACCAAGTAGAGGAGTGGAGTAACATTTCTCAAGGGTTCCACATTGAAACTCTGATATTACAGATATACCATTAAATCTGGTTAGAATCCTCTTGGATGTGGGACTCTGAGAACAAGCCATGGAAAGAAATTTATGTTCACATTAATAACTTGTTTCTATCTACTACTTTCTTTGTCACATACTTTTATATAGTACCTTCTGGGTATGTTAATAGCATCCTATACAGTCAATACATCCCATACAGTTTCTTTTGTTTTAAATATGAACAAGCTTGGTTACTTGGTGTTTGGTGATAATGAACTCAAAGAGTTTCAGAGGCAGTTCTGTCAGGGGCTTTTTAGATCCCATTTTCTAGCCATTTACATTCAGAACAATTGATCTGGTTTGAGAAGTTCAAACTCTTTAAGCCAAAGTGGCATAAGAAACAGTGGGTCAGGAATATACCATGTGGACTCAGTGTGTAGTAGTATATTAAAGGTTCCAAGAGCAACTCTAGTACAGGAGTCTGTATAACTTGAAATTAATTGTCAAGAGTTGTGGTCTTGGGCTGGTTGGTGAACCTTCACATCATACTATATAAGAAACAGATCAGTTACTACTGTCTTTAGAACATCACAACCTGCTTACTGACCGTCAACAATTATAATTCTTTTGAGGATGCATATCTTTGCTGATTTACATTCAACCTGAAATATCAGTAGCTGGAAAAATATTTTCTTACTCAGACTAAAAATTTTTTTAATATATTGTTGTCTTTAAAAAGAGGAAGGGTGGCTGGAGAGACGGCTTGGTGGTTAAGAGCACTGGTTGTTCTTATAGAGAACCAGGTTTGATTCCCAGCACCCACATGGCGGCTAACAACTGTCTGTAACTCCATTTCCAGGGGATCTGATGCCCTCTTCTGACCTCTGTGGACATTGCATGACATGGGTGCACTTATACACGTGCAGCAATATACACATAAACTAAAAATAATTTTTTTTACATAATAAAAAATAAAGAGGTTTCCAGTGACCATGTGGTTAATTATCCACTAATGAAAATACTTTTAATTAATGATACAAAGAAACTAAAAGTGATCTGGGGGTAATATATTTTTCATTTCCCATGGAGAACAATACTAAAAGATACCTCCTTTTTTAGTAGTCAGACTTCTTACTCATTGGCTGGTTTTGTTTCCCCTTCTCCTTAGCGCTGTCAGAAATGCAGATTAATTGTTTGAGTAGCAAAATCAGGATCCCAAACTGCTTTAAATCCTGTACTGTGAAGCATAAAACTTAGGGTATGCATGAAGTTCTTGTACAGCCTTTTATTCCATTTTAAAATACATTATTTAGATGATGATTTTGTTTGAGGCTGGATTCTTAGTCAATAGCCTCCATTAGCCCAGAATTCACTCTGCTAATAGAGTCAGTACCCATGAGAGTCATTTTGATTACAGACCCTTGAAGGAGAATGCATTGCAAATAGTATGGCACATAACAACCTTGAATTTATTAAATTCATTTAGGAATATCTTTTATAGGTTATTTCTGTTACACCAACAATGTAAACTACTAACTTAAATGTGTCTAGGGGCTTTAAGAAGTTTTTGCCATGTTGGTCATTTCACCTCTATTGAGAAAGAAAATTAATGCCATTTCAAAATAATAATTTAGCTATTTTTATATGTTTTGGTATACAGAAACACCAAAGACCATAGAAACTTTTATTTTCTCACGAACTTCATTCATATGTACCTTAGATAAATGATAATGTGATGAATGTGTTAATTTTTTAAATGTAGGATGATGTGTTTAAAAATACAGTTTATAAGATTTCCAAGCTCATGAGAGCAATTTTTTAAAAGAAAAATTAAAGCATTAATGCTCTCAGTAACTGAAAATAATTTAGAAAATGTTGGGCTGGCTGGCAGTATTTTATTAAAATTGAGTATGAAATCTAGTATTATGCTGTATACAATTACATAGATGTATTTTGTGACTGTTGAAACACATATGATAATAAACAGCTGAGAAAAATTGTAGTTAATTACCATTTCTAAAATTTTTAAAAACATATGACAGGATTCATCTGAGGAAGACAGCCTGCAGAATATGGATCTCCACAGACTGAGCTTGTCAAGGTAGGAGCATGCTCATCAGCACACATTTCTTCTGCAGGTCTCTCTGAATGGGGGTCCAGATTTCTGTTGTGTTTAACTTTAAAAACAGCAAATACTCTGGATGCTGACTGTGATCTTTGGTCACTGTACATTTATTTTAAAAAAACATTCAGTTAACAGCAGGCTTGACCTTAAGAAGTAGAAAAGTGCACATTGTGCTCCTCTTGAGCAGAATTTCCAAGCATTTACTAATAGTTTGGATAAGATTTTAAGGAATGAGCTATATAGAAGTGTTCTGTAATAAACTCTGATTGTACAGGAGGAATTTGTCATTCCCATAGATAGTAGCATGGTTTAGTGAAGAGAAACTAAATGGGACTATTTCCATAATAGCAATTTTTTAGGTATTTGGAAAACTCCCTTTTTTGAAATATTTTGAATTTCCTTCATCATATTGCCAGGCAAATAGAGTGTTGGATTGCTTTCTAAGACAAACTGAGCCTGTTAATTCCTGGAGACCTTTGCTAATGAAACTCATTAAGAAAAAAATTACCTAATAACACCCTTATGAGAAATGTAGCCATTGCCATGCCCTTGTTCTGTTTAGATGTTGGCCTTAGGTTGATGATTTGAGTTTCTAAACTAATCTCTGAGTATGGAAATTACTGTACTTTTGTTTATCATTGTAATTTAAATTGTGAAGCTGTGTTACTGATGATACCCTAAATATAAATTCTTGATGCAGAAAATATGAATTAGGTTAGTGCTTTTCAACCTCTTCTGTGTTTCCTTTGTGATCATGAAATTTTGGCCGCATGAAGTTATGGCCGCATTTAAAAAATATGGAAGGGTATGGAGCATGAAGAGATGGCTCAGTGGTTCAGAGCACTGGCTGCTCTTGCAGAGGACCTGGGTTCAATCCCCAGCACCCACATGGCAACTAACAACCATCCGTAACTCCAGTTCCAAGGGATCCAACACCCTCTTCTGATCTCATGGGCACTGCACAACACAGGTACACTTACATACATGCAGGCATACATAAAATTAAAATACTAAAATAATTTAAAAATTAAAATATGGAAGGGTAAATAAATATGGTATCTTGGTAACATTTTTTGTTGTTTTTGTTTTGCTTTTCTGTTTCCATTAGAAGGGTTTTTGCCATGCCTTATAATAAAAAATGGCTGAAAGACACTTGTTTTAAAAGAATCACAATTGCCAACATACACGTTTTTAAAATCTGTAGTCCTTTGCTTAACAAATTCTATGCTTTAATTTTAGTTCCTTTGAGGGAATATAGTACTTATTTTCAAAAGTTAAAGAAAATTATGTATGGTTGCAGTAAATTCAGCTAAATAGATTTTTCTTACATGAGAAATATTTGTTTCTGTTACTAAAAGCTTGACTGTGTAGTGTCAGTTAAGAAAAGAAGACTTTACACTATTATTACTCTGTAAAAAAGATATGTAATCCTTTCTCGAGATGCAGGCAAGCAAGTTTCATAACACTGAAGTTAGGGGTGTGAAATTTTACACTGGGGCTAAGAAATTTGTGTAAGCCATCAAGCATTTTACAGATGCCTTGGTCAGTGAATAATAATGATAATGACCATAAGAAAATAATGCTCTCCAAAAGAGTGGTGTAGTGAGCACCGTGGTCAGTCATTAGAGTGACAGATAATACAAGTATACTCCTGAACCTATTGCCTCATGTGCAGAATTGGCTTCCCCCTTTTGCCAAGCTAGTATCTGGTATAAGAATGTGGGTGATGTGTTTAGCATGTAATAAATGCTCAATTCCTTTTATTTCCTCTGTTGTTTTTCAGGGCTCTTATTGGAGTGGTTTAGTATCACATTTCAGTATTAAAGGAGCTGTATAAGTTTTTTTATAGACAACTACATAGTATTAAAAGTATTTTACTTGTGTCATTTAAGTTCACATTCTGAGTTGAGAAAATAGGATAAAGTAGTTTGCAGTCCATCTCAAAAATAAAAATACCTAATCATTCATCAGTTAGTTGGAACCCTGATAAAAATTTGCCTTTTCATCTTACTTAATGGCTTAAACATTTCATTCAAGTGTATAGAAATACAAATAATTTTGCACATTTTGAAAACTAGCACTTTAAGTATAGCACTGTGATTATTTTGTTATCCACAAGAGGGAGCGTTTATACTTAGTAATAATCAGATTCTGAGATGGGGGGGTAAGGGCACATGCTACAGAGCCTGTGTGGAAACCAGTGGGGACAGCTTTGTGGAGTCCCTTCTTCCTTTCCACCTTTATATAGGTTCCAGGGATTGAACTCACATCACTAGGCTTGCATGACAAGTACCTTTACCTGCTAAACATTATTGCCAGCCCATAATCTAAGAGTTTTAAAAATTAATGAATGTGTATGTGTCCTACATGAATTTATTTGCATTGTATGCATGCAGGATCCTGTAGAAGCTAGATGGCATTAGATCTCCTAGGACTGGAATTATATATAGGCAGTTGTTAGCCACCGTGTGGGTGCTGGAAACTGAACCTGGGTCCTCCCCAAGAGCAGTGAGTGCTCTTCACTGAGCCCTCTCTAGCAAGTCTTAGTTCGGGGTGGGGGGGGGTTGTTTTGTTTTGTGTAATCTGTAGTTTTCAATCTAGGTGACACTAAGATCAAAAGACAAAAAGACTGTTAAACTTGGTGACCTCGTTTTCATCCTGATTTTTCATTTAGAGTGAATGGATGTACTTGGTATTTCAGTACCCAAACACTGCCATGATTATTTTCTTTAAGTCAGGTACTGATTTACCATCTAAAGCCAATAAACTATTTTCCAACTATATTATTCATGTCTGTCTGAATTAGCATATGTACAGCATTTATACTTGCTGCTTTAGAATTCTAGTAACTCTTTGGAAAACACTGACTGCTCAGAATTCTATCACAAAACCAGCATTTCACTTCACACTGAAGACAGATTCCAGTGTGAAACATTCATTGTAAAAAGCAACTCTGCTCACTGTTGAGGTAAAGGTGGTTAAATACATTCAAGGTTAACAAATAATGCTTACAGTAGACTAACACTTGTAGAGTTTTCTCCTGAGCAGTATAAAGTATAATTGTGCTGTTTATATTGTAAGAATTACAGTCTTAGTAGAATATTTTACCAAAAGTAAAATTTCTCATATAATTCAATATAATTGTTTTTCAATTTATCTATCTATTGCTTATGTGATTAGGATGCTGCTAGTTCAGGTTCATTTAGTTGGCAATTAAAACCTGAAAGAAAATCATGAATGTAAGAATCTTTAATGAATATAAAATCTTTAGAAATTATTTGTAAAATAATTTCAGATCCTGAAGTAAAATCCTTTTAATTACAAAAATAGGAGAGGCATTTTGAAGTTTTGTTTCCTATAATCCTCCTTTCTAGCTGCTGCTTCATTATGGAGAAATCATTTGCCTCTTTATGTCTTGTGCTGTCATGTCACATTGATTTAGACCCAACAGTATGAGACAGCCCAGTCAAACATAAAGAATGGAATGCATAAAACCTAAATTTTATTTTAATGTGGTCTTGGATCTCTACTCAGCAATTGATACGTCATTTCATTTCACAGTGTCAAAATAATCAAAAGATGAAGACAGATTCCAAGTCCATATATGAATGAATGTAATTTTATTCTTGATCAGTTTGACAAAGGAAGAAGCATATTCCTTACTAATTATACTAACAGCACTGCACGTTATAGGCTATAATAAAATCTCAGTCTGAGAAGAGCCAGTAAGGAAATTCACCATTTGGAGTAGTGAATTTCCTTTTATTATGTCCTGTGTTTAATATAGTAGTTAATTGCTTGAAATCAGGATAATGTTATTCCTGTCTTTTTCACTTATAACATCCCAATTAAGGATCTTTCTGTTGTTTCATTTATATTGTCATAAAACTAACTGAAGAAATATAAACCTGTTTATTTCTACTTTAAAGTTATTCTCCATAAAAAGAACGAGTGTAACTTCTTTTTCAGTGATAATATGCAACATGCATACTGGGAACTGAAGAGAGAAATGTCTAATTTACATCTGGTGACTCAAGTACAAGCTGAACTACTAAGAAAACTGAAAACCCCAACTGCAATCAAGAAAGGCAAGTCACTGTTTGCCGGAAACCACTGATATCCAGCCAAACTGCTTGAAGAGCAGCTAGCTATTTTAACAAAATCTCATCAAATGAGTTTGATAATCCAGAATATATGTAGTATATTTGTCCACTACCCATTCTCTGCTCTGGCTTAGTTTCATTCTGGTCAGCTTCACACATGAAGGTGTTGCTGTGTTTTTTTCTTAAGTACTGTACTCTTTTTCCCCTTGTGGCTTTTCTGAAGCCAAGTGTTGCTTAGATGCATAAGCTGAGGTGTTAGGTTTGCTCTAGCTGACTTTTTACCACAATAAATACATTTTTTTAAAGAAACACCAAAGCAAAATTTTTATTTCAGTGCTACAAAATATACCAAAGATCTAGCTTTTTATTTGCCAAAAACAACTTCGATTCATTGAGTTGTTGGCATCTTTATAAACTTAATTTTCCTTCCATTAAAGTAGCTGATTCACAGGGAGGCGCAACCAAAATTTTTTGTTGCTTTCTTTTCATATTTATTTGTTTGGCTGACTCGTTTTGAATTTTATGTTAGCTAGTAAGTGGCTAATTTTGCCAAAGCTATTTTTATACCATAGAAAACAATCAGTGCATTGCAATAGTAAGTTTGTCCAAAATATATATTGTAAAATTGGATGACTTAAATTTTTCTTTTTAAAGGAATGTGGTGTGACTTTAAGAGATAATCATTAGCTAATTTAAAGTTGTTATTTGAACCTTAGATTGTCTTTAAGAAAGCACAAGAGAATTGTTTTATTAACAGTTCTTCCCAAGGGTGTTTGTTAGTAAGGGGAAATGATGTGCCTTGGAAAACAGAATTCCAAATTCCTTGAAATTTCCAGAGAGTTAGGAACTTATGAATCAAGCAAAAATATGCTATTTAGCAAATATACCTTAACTTTATGGCTCACTTTTTTTAAAGGTATGCCCCATGCCTGGCTTATTTATTTTTATTTTATGTATGTGTTTTGCCTACATGTATATAAGTGCACCATCAACCTGCAGTGCGCACTGAGGCCAGAAGAGGAGGTCAGATCCTTTGGAACTGGAGTTAGCCACCATGTAGGTGCTGGAAACTGAACCTGGGTCCTCAGCAAGAGCAGCCATTGCTCTTAAATATTGAGCCATCTCTCCAGTCCTTAAAACATACTCTTAGTAACACCTTTCTCAGTCCCCAGTGACACACAAATGGTCTGAAACTTCACTAGCCATGTTAAAGGCCAAGAATGGTATCTTTACTTGTCTGAACTTTATTGGTTTGCAACGTTCTGTGACATGCAGGTTCTTTATCCTTTAACAGTTCTATGGTGTAGGCAGGAAAGGATCACTACATCCATTTTTCAGACAAGTGACATATGAAGCGGTTGAGTGAGTAATTAACTGTAAGTTACTATCAGTAAATAGCTGATCTATCTGAACTCAGATCATGTTACTTATCTCAAAATCATAGTTCCCCAATGATCATACTAAGTTGGAAATGTTAATCTCATTATCAGTTGCAAAATTCAGCCAGATTCATGAAGCAGTATATGATTATAGTGCCATGAAAACTTACATGTAGCTTGTGTTCTCTTTTTAGCCTGCACCCCAATAGGATGTGAAGACCTTGGGAAAGACAGCACAAAATTGCACTTGATGAATTTCACGGCAACATACAAAAGACATCCCCCTTTGTCACCAAATGGTAAAGCTATTTGTTATACACCATCTTCCCCTTTACCAGGAGATATAAAGGTTTTATCGGAAAAAGCAGTTCTTCAGTCATGGACGGATAATGAGAGATCAATTCCTAATGATGGTACAGACTTTCAGGAGCACAACTCTTATGGCAGAAATTCTTTGGAAGATAATTCTTGGGTATTCCCAAGCCCTCCTAAATCAAGTGAGACAGCATTTGGGGAAACTAAAAGTAAAACTTTGCCATTACCCAATCTGCCACCCTTGCATTACTTGGATCAACATAATCAGAACTGCCTTTATAAGAATTAATTCTAATGAGATTCATGATTTGGTCACAAGGACAATACTCGCAGTGGTTCTCCCAAGATTATTCTAGATGGAAATAGACTTTGATTAAAAACTTAGAGATCTTCAATATGTACATTTGTACATACTGTACTGCATTATGTAGTTGATTTTCCAGTGTGAATGAGAACACTCCAGCTCTCCAGTTCTATACTCAGATACATGTTATTATATACATATGTGTGTATATGTGTGTGTGTATATGAACTAATAATCTTAAGTGTTCAAGAAGACAGTTGTACCTTTGATAACAATTTTTTGCTTCTCAGATAAAGAATGGAAATGGAAATTTTAGGCACATTTTATAAAGGATGTGGACTATCTAAATATCCATTCATCAAATAAAAAGAAGCCTTTAGTGTAAGAGAAGAACCATGTACATTGGCTCAGATTGCATAAAGAAGCAGATAGTAATGTGAATAGGTTATATTTCTGTGGACTTTACAATGTATACAGATTTGAAATACAATGGAATCAAAGTGTCTAGGTTATTCCATTTCTGTATGCTATTATGTTTCAGGGTTTAAGATTTAAAATCATCCTTTTACTAAAATGCTTGTGTGTAAAATTTTAGAAATGTAATTTGAGTTCTAAGACTTGAAATTACTTGCCCATGGAAGCCAACTTTGTCCCAGTACATTCAAGTCCTAAATATTTCAAAACGATGTGGTGTGTGAATAAACTAGTATAGCTTTCTACACCATCTAGTTCAAGTAGAAAGAGCTTGTCACAGGTCAGTGCCTCCAGTGGTCCATAATGAAAATCTTCATGTGTCAACTGTATACAGTCATCTTCTTCAGCAGGAATACAGCTGCTCGTTATGTAGAACAGCTTAGATATTGTTGGACTATAACATTTGAGAAAGTGACTTTTAATTAACAGAGTCTAGAACTAAATTTTGTGCTCTATTGACATAGTACAATTATGGAACGAACGTACACAAACTCATTCTGACTGGCCAATCATTTGTAAATAAGAAATAACAAAGGCGGCTTCACATGGACATTCATCTAAATTCCTTCAGGGTAGAGGCATTAAGAGTATTAGTAATCATATATTACCTGTTTCATGTAAGAAGACTTTATCCTTTTTTTAATGGAATTTTATATATCTTGAATTTAAAAGATCTGAGGTCTCTTACATTACTGAATAACATGCATACATAGACAGTACTCACCATTCACCAGTTATTTTTGTCTTTATCGCACTTATTCAAGCTTGTCCGTGATTAATGGAATTGATGTCAGATGCTGGAATTTATTCTGACCAGTGAACACAGCTGACTCGAGGGAGTACAAGCTCCTGCCAAGTAATACAACAAAACCATTGCAATATGCATAAAACAAATACCAGACTCCAGACTTTAGCTGAAAGAACTAACAGTCTGTGTAATAAGAAAGCAGCAGAAACATTTCTCATGTGGCTGCATAGGCTGTATATTATCTCATCTCTAATGTAGCTTACTGGTTTGCCTTTTTTTAAACCAAGGCTGGAAATTTTCCTTTGTAAAGAAGAGTCTTATGAGATAATGTTTTGAACAATGCCAAGAAATTGTTTTAATTAAAATTATTTTTGTTTTTAAAATGGAATTGGATGTGAAATACTATCCTGGTCTATTCTAGTTTGCCTTCAGTTGCTCTGACAAAACACTGACGCATGTCAACTGGGGGGGTGGTATTTAGCTTGTATCTCCCAGGTCACAGTTCATGGAGGGAGCCCAAGGTAGGAACTCTGAGCAGGAATCTGGAACACAGTTCATAAGGAACACTGCTTATTAGCTTGCTCCCCTGGCCCTTGTTCAGCCTGCTTTCTTTCACAATACAGGACCATCTGCCTAGGAGTGGCACTGTCCATAGTGGACTGGGTCCTCCCACCTCACTCAACAATCAAGAAAATGCCTCACAGACATGGTCATAGGCCAATCCAATGGAGGCAGTTCCCCACTTGTGGCTCCCTCAACCCAAGTATGTCAAGTTGACAACTAAAACTAGTACATCTATATTCAAAAGTCTGGTATTAATTTTGCTAAAATATATTTGTTCTGTTACACTAACATACTCTGGGTGGAGCAAATACCCTCTAAATGATAATGGTCACCATACTGTACAGTCAGTGATTGGTGCTCTTAACACTTGAAAATGTTAGATAAATGGCATATAAATCTTTAAGACCCCTTAGCTAGAAAAGATTAACCCCAAAATACTTCTACAGAGTCAGAAACTTTTTAGGTATACACTCACCAACTCTGCTCATTGGGGTTAAAAAAGAGATGATATACTGTCATCTGAAACAGACTTAAAATTGAAAATTGCCATTACCCAATTGGCCATCCTTGTATTATTTAGGCCAGCATAGTCAGAACTGCCTTTGTTGATCCCTTTCATACTAGTTAAAACTCTAAAAAGAGTTTACCTTGAAAGCTTATATAATCTCTGAATTTTTCAGAAAACCCCAATTTAACATACCTGTAACTCGACAATATAGAGAAGAAAATAACAAAATAGCCACTTGTTCCTTCTTTAATCCCATATTAGCTTGAGAAAAAACTTGTAACTTTATAAAGATTTTTGTTACAAGTTGGTGGCAAAATGGAACTGAATTTATATCTAGGTCAAGAACAGACCTGCCCTATATATGTGAAACTAGGAAATTAGTATACCAAAGATAGGCCTGCAGCAGATACACCAGCCAGATAAGTCAAGAGTGTGAATACTGTCAAGAAAACAATGACATTTTGGTTTTAATTAAAAACATGAGAGTCACATTATAGGGGATGGGGAGCAAACTGCCTTTCCCAAGGTGAGTTTAGACACTTTCATTTGTGTGTGTGGGGGGGGGTACCGGTGAAATTAGTATACCAAAGATAGGCCTGCAGCAGATACACCAGCCAGATAAGTCAAGAGTGTGAATACTGTCAAGAAAACAATGACATTTTGGTTTTAATTAAAAACATGAGAGTCACATTATAGGGGATGGGGAGCAAACTGCCTTTCCCAAGGTGAGTTAGACACTTTCATTTGTGTGTGTGGGGGGGGGTTGAAACACGGTCTCGCTGTAGCCCCAGCTGGCCTGGAAGTTCCCATTACTAGGCTGGCTGTGATCTCAGAGCTGTTCTACCTGCCTCTGCCTCTGCCTTTCCAGTGCTAGGATTGCTGGGATTTAAGGTATGCACCACTGCTCCTGGCTGCAAGCTGAGTTTGGATCCCAGGTTATATGTCTCTATCCCCAGAACTTGTGGGACTGGAGTCAGGTAGATCCCTCATGTTCATTGGACAGCCAGCCTAGCCAAATCTCTGAAAAAGGCCAGTCACTGGCCTTTCCACATCCCCACATCCGTATCACACACAAAACAATTCAGTGTATATTTCACTGGCTGCTGTAACTGCTTTGCCTTTTTTTAGTGCTTTAGGAAACGTACCAATAGGCCATTGGAGACATTTAGGCTTGCTTGCCCCTATGCTTATGCAGTCTCTAGCTTTTACCTGCTCTGACCACCTACCTCCTTTTGATCTGTGGCCTGGGAAAAAAAGGTTCTTTGTATTTCAAACAAGAGTAAAGTAGTTTTTTCAGTTCATTTAACAGTGTAAGAGTAAGGTAGGGAACTTGAATATCCATTGATTGTTTGGGATCATCACACTCTTTAAAAATGTTTTTTTATTTTTAAGAGCATTGTGGTCACAGTTAAATCTTGCTCAGAGAACAACTTTTAATACAAAACACAGGCTAGACCTAAATCATTGCATTTAGCAGAAACTTGTATAGTACCTCCTAAATCCACAATATTACAAAATGCAAGTTCATATTTAGCAAAGATAGGACTTATTAAAATCAAGGATTATACAAATCAAGGATTATACAATATCAGTAGCCAAGTTTGAAAGGTCAAGAAACAAGTGATTACAAGAAATTTTCCATCAAAAGTTTAAAATTAACTTAATCTCATCTGTGTTTTCAAATAACCCTACTATACTACTAATAGTAACTACCAAATAAGCTCTTGCCAAATCTGAAGCCCTGTCTTACACACTCCATATACCTGCAATATCCAGTTAAGTCCTCAATAACTGTGAGACCTATTTTCCCAGAGGTGTAGTTATATAGTGAGTGGTAGAGCTTGAAAGGATTCTGGTTCTGTTTCTGTGCTGAACATCCTAGTTATCATTAACACTGCTGAAGGTTCATTCTTTCCTTTAATACTTTTACCCCATGATGAGCTAAAGCTAGCCTGCTCATAATCCATATGAAAATCATTAGCACTGTTACTGCAATTAAAGTATGGGAGGACTTCTTTAAAAAAAAAAAAAAAAAAAAAAAAGACCAGGAAAACAGCTCATTTAGTTTTCACTCCTGTGTTTAATAAACCAGAATTCAGAAATAAAGATTTTTAATAAAAAAATCAAAATGTTCATAATTAGGAAAAGGAAATGTTATTTCAGTCCATTATTTCTGGTGATTTATTTTATAAATGGCTTCCATAAATACAAGTTCCTGGCTCATTTGAATGTTCGCCTACATGCTCGTGGGCAGTTTCTGTAGCCTTTTCTTGGCTGGAATTCCGGTTTTTCTAAATTCTTCCCTTTCCTTGAGATACTCCAGTTTGCATTCTTCATAAAAGGCTGGATCATTATAGCTACAAGGAAGAAATAAAATTATAAAATAACTGCATACTACATAAGCTTAGTTTAATATCTGTCAGGTTCAATCTTCAGAAGCACTTTTTAGTAATAGTCACCAACATGGTAAACAGTTACCAAAAACTAGAAAAAAACAGGCTAGTTAAGAGTACTGACTGTTTTTGCAAAGGACCCAGGTTTAGTTCCTAGAACCCACATGGTGGCTAACACCAATGGTCTGTAACTCCAGTTCCAGGGGATCCTTGCCCTCTTCTGGCCTCCATGGGAATTACATGCAGACAAACTATAAAAATAAATTTTAAACTAGTAAAAACAATAGATCTAAAGATTTTTAAACTTTATTTTGAAATTGTATATAGTAATATGAAGTGTTGTATATAGCCCCATCACATGATAGAACAGTATGAAATGGATAGCAGTTACTCTCAAGGAACCCAGAGTTCTACAGGGCAAAGACTGGGCTACAATTAAGTTTAAAAGATACACAGAAGCATGAGGAAGCGAGGATCCCAGGAGGAAATTCTTGAGTTGCACTTGCAGGAACAAAAGATTCACATAAAAAGAACTGAAGGAAATGAAGTGCACGTGAAGGGAATGGGTGCACAAAAACCTGCAAGCACACGGGGACTGCCACAGTGGATTATGCACATAATAGAAAGAACCAGAGAAACACTGAATGCATAGGGCCAAAAGGAGGTGGGCCATGCATGCCATTCTAAAAAAACTAAACTCATCCTGAAGGCCAGAGGAAATGACTACAGAGTACACATGGTGTCTTGAATGACAGCAGCATGTAGCTTAGGCTAAAAAGAGACAGGAATGCTTTTTAAAACAGGACTTCTGATAAACAGTATAATACATGCAAGAAATGATGAGGGCCTAGGCTCAGCCAAAGGAAAGAGATATAGAAATGAAAAGGAAAAAAGACTTGGTAACTAGAGTTACTTAGACAAAACGAGATTCTAGACAGCTGTATTAAGTCAAGCCACATGTTAGGGAGGACAAAAGTTCAGTTTAGAATATGAAAGAAACAGAAATAGGATCTGTATTAACTAGTTTAATACATGGATGCAAATTAAGCTTCTCTTAGATTTAAGGTTCTGAACAGAACCCAAAGAAACACCAACTTTAAGGAGTAGGATGAGGAAGTTGAGAAGTATGGGGAGTGTGGTAAGCTCTAAGCGTCACAGGGAAGTGAAAAGTGCTTCAAGAAGGGACTGTCAGAGAAAACTGAGCAAAACAGGAAGGGCTGCTTTTTGGATGTCACAATCATGAGCACATTAGTCTTTAGCAGTTTCAGTGGAAATCAGAAAGGACTAAAATTGAGGACTAAAAATAAGAGGCAGAAATACAGGAGCACAAACCACTAATGTCTCAAGGTGTTACTGTGAAGGAAAATAGTAGCTACATGCATTTTGTACACGTTCAATGATAATAAAGGAACACTTACTCAAAGATGAAAACCTTGAGTATTCTGGGACTTAATGGCAAATAAAATTTTCATCAACTTCATTTTTTTTTTTTGACAAATGCTGCATCCATCTTTGTTTCTTTCATTTCTTTTAAATTTTTTTAATTTATGTGTATGAATGTATTGTCTGCATACGTATGTAAGTGCACTCATGTTGTGCAGTGCCCAGGAAGGTCAAAAGAGGACATCAGATCCCCTGGAACTGGAGTTATGGTTGTTAGCTGCCATGTGGGTGGCTGGGATTTGAACCCAGGTTGTCTACAAGAGTAGCCAGTGCTCTTAACTGCTAAACAGTTAACTCCAACCCCATTCTTTTTTTAAAATATATTTTAATTTTTATTTTATGTGTATGAGTGTATTGCCTGCATGTATGTAAGTGCACCCATGTCATGCACTGCCCACAGAGGTCAGAAGAGGGTGTCAGATCCCCTGGAACTGGAGTTACCAATGGTTGTTGGCTGCCCTGTAGATGCTGAGAACTGAACCCAGGTCTTCTGCAAGAGCAGCCAGTGCTCTTAACCACCTCTCCAGCCTGCTTCTGCCCTCTAAACCAACAGAAGCAGTCTCTCCCCATCCTGTTCTAACCCCTCACCAAGACAAACTAAGAATTTTTCTTTTCATATTTCTAGGAAATAGAAAATAGAAGGATATTCAAATGATTAATATTCAGATTAACAAACAATAAATACAAGTCAAATAAGTAGATCCAGAAAGTGTTAACATTTACTGAGCACCTATTGTGCAGTAGGCACTTGGGTCACAATCACTCCCTGAAGAACTGCCCCTTCTCACAGTACAGAACAGCCCAGGGTTGCAAGCTCTGGTGATTCAGTAAGTCTAGGCTGCCCTCAGGAGTCTACTCTTGCCACTTTGCTCTCAGGTTCCCCACCCAGAGAAGGGGTATATCCAGCTGAAACTGCTATTTTGATGACTGAATAAGTAAAATGTTTATCCATATGTAAAATAATGAACAAATTCCAGCCACATGAAGTTTAAGAGGCTCACCTATTCATCACATCTCTACCATGGTCACACAGACTAAACCAATAGCACAGGTTCCCACTGCATTTACCTCATCCCAAATCATCACTAAGTTGTGACAAACCTTTTTTTCTGCAGTGATCTTTGCTGGACAAAGCAAGAGTTATTCTTCCTCTCATTTCCTGTTAACATGGCTACCAGGTGCCCCTTGGAGTAGTTTTGTAGTAGTAGAGATAACTACCCAGGAAAACGCTCATTTTGCAGTAAAAGGGTTTCATGATTGGCTTGCCACACGTACTTTTTTTCTTCTCCCCCACCTCCCCCCAAATAGGATCTCACTATGCAGCCTACACAAGCTGCAAACTAGCCTTCTGAGTGTTGGCACTACAAGCATAAGCCACCACACCTGACTCTCGGGCATTCTGTACTTTTAGAGAAAAATTATAAATTTGAGGCTGAGCAGGATTCTCTGAACAAGATGGAATGACATCAGACATGGGTCCTCTTCCAGGGGCCTTCAGCCTAGAGGTGGGGAAGGGCTGTGAGCAGTGGCATGATGCAAAACTGCTTGTGGAGAACCACAGGGGATGTGTGGAAAACTGCACAGCTGTGTGTTCAAGGGACACCTGCTTCTTCCATATTTCATAGACTTGGGATGGGCACTGTGTGGGGGACAGGACAACCATTCACAATACTGTGTGGCATGAGAAAGTGGCCTGGCCAAGTGATACCAGGGTGGAAGTAGTTCTTTAATTTTCATTTTCCGTCAGAATTCTAGACTTGGTTGCCAGATGCCAAGTTCATCCTCGTTCTGCCTTTGAAAAATGGTTCAGGGGAAAGGTGGTCCTTGACTCTCACATTGCGGTGCGAGTCACTGAGAGTCCTGTGGGAAGCAGCTGGTGTTTGGGGGAACAACCGCTTTTGGCCTTCCAAGGCTGAGTGAACTGTGTTCATCTGCAGACTTTTTGAAGGTGACTGCTACTGAAAAGTAAGTTTTGACACACTCCCTAGCTGCCCCTTTCCTCCTAGCTGAATGGCTCCAGTGCCTTTTATAAGGTCACAGAGGAAACACACTTGCATTGGCAGTCACCAGGTCATGGAAATTTGAGGTTCAGGGAAGAAATTCCAGCTGGCCTATAACAAGGCTTCTACGCTCAGGCACAAAGTGCTGAGCAGATGGTCTCCAGGACACAGCAATGGTGTGGGCATGGCCAGGACTCCCAATCTGGTGAAAAGGAATATATTTGTAGTTTTCTCCAGCATTGCTCTTCTAGCTTCCTACAGCTGGCAGGGAGAAGACCCATGGTTCCTGTCAATGAGCAAGAGATGGATCAGGCTAAGTTGGGATCCTTTCCAGCCTCTGCAGATGAGCCAGGGTATCTAGAAACCTCCCAGGTAGGGAATTCAGGCTGTCAGCCTAGATGCTCCTGTTCCCCATGTGGACAGCACAGTGCTGTTTATCCACTGGAAGCCTTTGTGGCTTGGTGGGCTAACCCTCTGTCCTTTGATCCCCCCAGGGAAACAAGAAAACTTCACTGCACTCTCAAGGACAGGGTGTGGGAGAACTAACAGTGAGAGATTTGGGTGTGTAGTGCTCATTGCTGAGCTATGCTCATTGCTGTTTCTTTAAAACGTTTGTTACTTTATTCCATTTTGTAAAATATTTGTGTTCTGAAAAACAAGCATTTAAGAGAGAAAAAGGAACATATCTTAGGCACATTAGGGAACAGAAGTGGAGGAATGGAACATCAGAGATGAAGCACTGACTCTACAATAAAGTGCCTAGTAGAGTGTGTGGACAAAAATGCATGTGCTGCTGATACAAACCAGAGAATGTCCACAGTGAGGCTTCCTCACCTCTTCCTAAGCCTTCCAAAAACCTCTACGTTGATGAATACATAATCTTTCTTTTATGATTCGTTCTTTTAAGAAGCATTTTGAGATTTATTTTTATGTGTATGAGTGTTCTGCCTGCATGTATGCAAGTTTATCACGTGTGCAATGCACAGAAGAGGGCGTTGAATCCCCAAGAAGTGGAGTTACCATGGGCCACCATGTAGGTGCTGGAAACCAAACCAGGTCATCTGCAAGAATAGTAAGTGCCCTTAATGGCTGAGCCACTTCTTCAAACCTCCCAAACCAGGTCATCTGCAAGAATAGTAAGTGCCCTTTGTGGCTGAGCCACTTCTTCAAACCTCATTATTTGTTCGTGTGTGTGTGTGTGTGTGTGTGTGTGTGTGTGTGTGTGTGTGTGTGTATGAATCAGTACTTTTCAATTTAATATCCCAAAAATATATATATAATAGTCACATATACGTTTTACAGGCTACATATGGAAAAATATGAAAGGAAATAAGGATATGCCAAAATTAAGATCTCACAACTATCAATTAAAAACACAATAAAATATTTTACAATATAACCTATTGATAATGTATATAATAAAACATGGAGATAAAAACAAAAGCACCTGATTTCAAATAAATTTCCATGCTTTCACTTAAAAACTAAGAAAGTATGCTAGGAGTGGTGGTTGATGCTTGTTACACTCAGGAGGCAGAGGTAGGAGGACTGCTGCAAGTTCGAGACCAACTTGGTCTACTTAATAAATTTTAGACTAGCTAAGGCTACACAGTAAGACCCTATCTCAAACAACAGCAACAAGAAGAGTTGAGGGACTACAATAAATTATTAGTCCATATGATATTAAAATGTTAGTTTAGAAATAACTTCATTAGGGCTGGCAAGATGACTCAGCGAATAAAGGAACTTGTACAAACCTGATGACATGAGTTCAATCCTGGTCCCAGAGCAGAAGAGAACCAACTCCGGAAAGTTGTCTTCTGACCTCCACACATGCTGTGGCATGCACAAGCCCAAACACACTCACCAGACACACAACAGTAATAAAGTTTTTAAAGTAAAAATTTGGTTAGCTTCAAAATTTATAAATTTACTTTTGCATCTTCCATAACATTTGCTTCAACATTTCTAGGAGTTAAATTACAATAGCACAGCAAAGCAATCACCAGGTTGAAAAGTTCTTACAGATACTCTAATTCACTTGCTTTCCACTTAAGAATAAAAAGCAGACTATTCTATATTCTATAAACCAACCTGTTCTTGAAAAGGGATCTGTTAAATCATGCATAGAATCATACATTTTTGTTTGCTAACCTTTTAAAATTTTTATTGAATTTTTGTGAATTTCATATATATTTTGATCATATTTAGACCCCCTCCCCTATCTTCAGCCCAACTATAGCCCCCCCATACTGGATTTCATGTGCTCTGTCATATACATTAAGACCTACAGAGTCAGGTTTGTGTCCCCAAATGTCCTTCAGAGTTCATCTATCATCCACTGGAGCCTGGTTATCCTATCTAGTATCACACCTCTAAAGAAAACTGACTCTCCCTCTCCCAGCAGTTATCAGTTGCCAATAGTTCTTCAGCTTCTTCTCCACTTCCCCATGTCTATGCTCGATTTTTGTCTGGCTTGAGCTTGCATGGGTTTTGTACATGCTGCTACCATGGCTGTGAGTTCATATGAATAACTTCCCAGCTGTCTAGAACACTGTTTCCTTGTGGTTACCAATCATATCTGGTGCTTACAAGCTAACCTCTTATTTTTAAAACAGATGCAATTCTGACAAGAATAACTTCAAAACTGTGCTGGATGGCTTTAGTGTCAACTTGACACACCTGGGTTGAGGGAGCCTCAATTGGGGAATTGATTCCATTGGACTGGCCTGTGGCCATGTCTGTGGGGCATCTTCTTGATTGTTGAGTGATGTAGGAGGGCCCAGCCCACTGTGGGTAGTGCCACCCCTGGGCAGGTGGGCCTGTGTTGGATAAGAGAGCAAGCTGAGCAGGGGCCAGGGAAGCAAGCCAGTAAGCAGCGTTCCTCCATGGCCTGTGTTCCAGTTCCTGCCTCCAGGTTCCTGCCCTGAGTTCCCACCTTGGACTCCCTGATGAACTATGACCTGGGAGATGTAAGCTAAATAAACCCTTTCCTCCCCAAGTTGGTAGTGGACAGTGTTTTGTCACAGCAATGAAGAACAAACTAGAACAAAACAAAATACCTTCATAAATGTTTTTCTTTTCCTTTAGAAAGTCCAGAACATACTGATGTCTTAGCCAACAACATAAAGAATTTGGTTTGGATGCAGTACAGATTATATTATATATAATGAGCTAAGTGACACTCTTACCCACTATAAACATGCACAGAGATCAACAAGCACTGAGGCAACTACTTACTAAGCAGTTAGACATCCTTTCAATGCAGAATTTTCTTTCCGACATTTTATTACCATAAGGATTCCAGAATCTTTGCAGCATTTGGTAAAATCTGAAATTTTGAAAAATGAAAGGAAAATTTATAGCTACACCAGTATGACTTTAAAAGCTCTAATGTATTCTCTCACTTGGAGTCCATTACTACACTGTGCAGAATACATACTCAACAAAAGGCAGTAAGAGTACTGTGAGAGGGAGCAGACTTCTGAGATCAGGGCAGGGAGGCACCTCAAGACGCAGGCTGTAGAGATGAAGCAGGACTTCTAGTAGGGAAGGAGCACATTCCAGTGGAAATCAAAAACGAGTTAAAACTGTTCCCAGACCCAGGTATCTGGTGTCCCTCCAACAGTCTCCTTAGCACAAGACAGAGCTGGAGACTTACCTCTAATGGCATCTAAGCCTCCCCTTTTCTCTTTCTTCTAAAGATCCCTGCAATGTGCCTTAACTTCTTTCTAGTAACAGGACTTTCATTCACACCAAGTACCAAGATGCCCCAGAAATTACATATGGTTTTCTGCTAAGTTTCTATCCCAGTAGCTGACCTTTTAGTGAGTGTATGGTCGTACATTTTACCCTGAGCCAGGCCACTTGCCACTCTGCCTTGCATCTGCTTTGGGTCTGGTTCAGCTTCACCATCCTCCCCACAGGACGTAGTACTCTGCTCCCCTGTTTGTAGCTGTCCTGACTGCTCTGCTCCTTCCCACTGACCACTAGAACTACTCTGGTTCTAGTTGCAGGTTACACCTCCTATTCTGCTGTCAAGTAGCCATTTTCCCCCTCTAGTCTTAAATATGACATCAGCCTCACAAAGAAGCTATAGGAATAAAGTCTCTTCTATATTTGTGTGGTTCACTTAATATAATTTGTCAAGATTCCCCTCTTCCCGTAGGCCATGTTACCTAAGATAAGTTATTTATAGTAAAGTAAGCAGGTAACCAGAAATCTCGGTGAAGCTACATACTATAATATGTGAAAAAAGATTTTTAAAGCACAATCACCAAAAATGATTGAGCTAAATTGTGAAAAAGACTCATGGGGGGAGTGCAGGGGGCTTAGTCAGAGTCTCACAGCAGACATGTCTACATCTACCACAGCAGCATGACTGACTGAAAAGAACTGGAGAACAGGAACAAGGAAGAAGCAGACAAGAAATCACTATCATTTAACCATGTACAGTGCTCTCATATGAAATGAAGAGAGTCTGCTCTACCCCCCTCACGGTCCCTCAGGATGAGAGCGCTTCAGTTCTGTTCACTGGTCTTAGCACTCCCATCGTTAACTGATCACAATTCAGTCTAACCATTAAATCTGAACATTACTCTTGAATGTGAACGTTTTCCTTACTCCAACTACAAATGCTCCCATTCTCTGTGCATGTAAGTTGGGCATGTGGGCTAAATCAGAGGGAAATTTCTTTGTGTTCTTTGACAAGGACTCCCTACAACTCAAAACACAAAGCAGACATAAGGCCAGCTCATTATCGGTGGAGACATTAAAGAGCCATGTGGATATCAAAAAGTCCATTAAAGCCAGGCGTGTGGCACATGCCTTTAATCACAGCACTCAGGAGGTAGAGGCAGGTGGATCTCTGTGAGCTGGAGGCCAGCCTGGTCTACATACTTAGTTCCAGGACAGCTGGGGCCACAGAGAGACCTTGTCTCAAAAAAAAAAAAAAAAAAAAAAAAAAAAAGTAAAAAAAAAGTAAAATTGTGAGCTATAAAAATAAAATTTCACTTAATTAAATAAATACTAAGGTAATGCAAATGAATGCCAATGAGCAATGAGAAATTGTCATTTGAAGGCTTAAGGAGAGGTGCTCTCAAAACTTTCTTGCTGTAAAATATCAAGAACATGCAAATCTCTTTTTGTTGGACACTCTTCACTTCTCTCAAAGAAACCATCTTGTATTATATAATAAACTACTGATGAAATTATTTTTGCATATAATAAAGTTGCATCAAGAGTATCTAGGAAAACACAGAAACTTTATTCTGACATAATATTAGGACAGAATCATCTTTCATACTGTAATTAACTGTAAGTAGTGGACATAATTTCCAGTTTACTATGACATGAAAAACCTCTGAGTACTTCCATGTAGAAGCAGTAACAGAAATAATGGGTTGCAATGATTTGCTTTTAAGCTCATTTGATTTTTCTGGAGCTTTGGAATATGTTTTAATATTTAAATAAGTCCCAATAATTATAAGCATCTTAATTAAAATTGATATTTTACATTTTTCCTCTTCATTTAATGAGTTTCACAGAACATATTATTTTACAATATGGTTATTCAGTTAAAACTAAAGTATTCACCAAGACACAACAATTTTAAAAAGCACAAACTTTAAAAAAAAAAAAAAAAAAAAACCTCTAAAAAAGCTTCAGGTTTTTCTTTTTATAATCACTTTTAAAGTTTTTGGTTTTTTTCTTTTTTTTTTTTTTTAAGATTTACTTCATTTCAAATTATGTGTATATGTGTGGGATAGAATGTGCACATGTAAGTGCAGGTGCCCACAGAGGCCAGAGGAGGGCATCAGATCCCCTGGAACTGGAGTTAACAGGCAGTTGTGAACTGTGATGTGGGTGTTGGGAACTAAACTTGGGTCCTCTGCTACAGCAATATATGCTCTTAACCACTAAGCCACCTCTCCATCCCCTACAATCACTTTTAGACACAGTACTTACTGAAACCTTAGTAAAATATTTACAAAATAATTATTTTTCCTGCATTATAAAAAACTAAGATATATTTGGATATATAACAGAATTTTAGTGGAAAAGCTACATGCAATATTAACAAGACTATACTATCATCTTAATGGCCTTCACCTTCAAACTGGGAACTTCAAATGAAATGAAAAATATTTTAGGAGATCCCACTTACTGAAGAGCATAGTTAAGGCAAAATTAAAAATCAACCAAATCTATAACATTTATCAACCTTATCAATGAAAATCTTAAATGTAAAACTTTTTTAAAAATAAATGTGGATGAGAATAAAAGCACATTTTAGTAATGACTCACATAAAGCCTTTAAAATATAGGACTAGAAAGAGACAATATAGGGAAGGACTGGGTGTTGAGTTAGTGAGACGCCTCTTCAAAGGTATCTTCAAGTTTATCTTCATTTAATTTTTATTTGGTTTGTGTGTATACATGAATGGGTGCCATAGTGTGCATGTGGAGGTCAGAAGATTTATAGGTATTAGTTTATAAAGTTTAGTAACACAACTATAGAGCTCCTTGCACCTCTATATCCAATGATCCTAACAATGTGGTTTTTGGAAAGAATCCAACCCAACCTTTAAACAAAGCCAAAACCATAAAATTAACATTGAAAAGAAAATCATGAACATGGAGGTGGAGGCAGAGGCAGGGGCAGGCAGAGCTCTGTGGGATCCAGAAACACACGTTGAAATAATGGCCTTTTCATTGCATCCAGAGCTTTAAAAACGTCTTACTTTCGAAAGGCAAAGATAATGCTGAAGATGGGAAACTGCCAAACAGTTCAAGAGGAGATTCATTTATAACATTGTACTTTCTTTTTCTTCAATTTCCATAGAGAACAAAGGAAATGCATTTGCAATCCGAAGTTAGAATCTTCAAGATAAGATATAATCCTGGCTCATGATTCACAGCCAGTTGCATTCAAAGAATATTCACCAACTTCAGGCACATATAAAACATTAAAAGGAGAACATGCAATAAAATTTGG